TAATATTCATAAACTCTATAAATTAATACCTATATATATAAAATATAAAAAAATAATATTATATTTTTTCATATTTTTTCTATATAATAAATATATATTTTATAACATATTTTTTTACATATCAATTATATATATTATATTTCTTTTTTTAAAATATAAAATTCAAAAATAACAATTAAATATATTAATCACACATATTATATAAATATAAATATTATTCAACCATACCATTCCACAAAATCAATACACAATATAAATCAAGAATATTAATCAACCACTCAAATTTTCAATCAAACATATAAATCAAAAATATCTTTCAAACATATCAAACAACTATTTCGCTCAAAAAACTCAATCAACAATAGAACTCAAAAATATCAATTCAACAATATTAATTAAATCTATCAATCAAAACTATTATTTTAATACATTAATTCAAACTATCGATCAAAAGTATTAATCAAATCAAATATATAAATCAAAAGAAATATTGTTCAAATATATCAATAAAACATATTATTTACAAAAAACCAATCAACAAAGTGTCGTATAAAAATATTCCTCAAAAATGTCGATCAAACAATTGAGGTTCAGAAGTATCGATCAAGTATCGTTAAAAAATATCATTCAGATATATCAATCAGAAATATTATTCAAAAAAATCGTTCAAACAATTATCGTTCAGACATATCAATCAGAAAATTGGATCAGAAGTGTTATTTAGAAGTGTTAATGAAAAAGGTTCCTCAAAAATAATAATCAGAAATGTGGGTCAGACATATTAATTCAGCAGTGTTAGTCAGAAGTGTTAATTCAGCAATGTTGTTCACAAGTCTGCTTCCGAAATGTCGATGAGCAATGTGGGTCAGAGTTTTGTATATGGCTCAGAACTGTGGATCAAAAAAGTGTTGCTCATCAGTGTCAATCAGAAGTGTGGTTCAGCAGTGTTGCTCAAACTATCGATCAGAAATGTCAATCAGAGGTGCGGATCAAAAGTGTTGCTCAGAAAAGTCGATCAGAAAAAATGCGTGTTGCTCAGAAGTGTGGATCAAAAGTGTTGCTCAGAACTAGAACTGTTGATCAGATCAGACAGTCAAAAGTGTTGATCGGAAACTTCAATCAGAAGTGTGCTCAAAAAGTGTTGCTCAGGGGTATCGCTCATTGGTCAGAGGCGTCGCTCAGAAGTGTCTCTCATTATCACTGAGCTATGTGTGTAGAATTGTCGCTCAGGCAGCAGTGTTGCTGATTGGGTGTGACTCAGGCGTGTCGCTCAAAGGTGTTTTCAGAGCGTCGCTCAGGAGTGCCGCGCAGTGGCGCCCAGAAGTGTCGTTCAGAGGTGTCGCTCAAAAGCATCGCTTGCATGGGTGTCGACAGAAGTGTTGCTCAGAAGTGCCGATGAGCAGTGTGGATCAGAAGTGTTGATCAGACGTGTTGCTCCCTCAGAAGTGCTGCTCAGAACTGTCGATCGCGGTGTTGGCTAGAGGTGTCGATCAGCAGTGCCGAATCAGCAGTGTTGCCCTGAAATGTGTGTGTCAGCAGTGTGTGTCAGAAGTGTTGCTCAGAAGTCAGAAGTGCGGATCAAAAGTGTTTCTGAGAATTGTCGATCAGATGTTTTGCTCAGAAAAGTCGATCAAAAGTGTGTCGATCACAAGTGTTGCTCGGAAGTGTCGCGCAGAAGTGTCAGCCTGAAGTGTTGCTCAGCAGTGTCGCTCAGAAGTGTCAATTCAGCAGTGTCAATCAGAGGTGCGGATCAAAGTGTTGCTGAAGTGTCGATCAGAAGTGTTGCTCAGAAGTGTCGATCAGAAGTGTCGAACAGAAGTGTTGCTCAGAAGTGTTGTTCAGACGTGTTTCTCAGAAATGTTGTCAGAAGTGCGGATCAGAAGTGTCAATCAGAAGTGCCAGTCAAAAGTGTTGCTCGGAAGCTTCGATCAGAAGTGTTCTCAAAGGTATCGCTCATTGCTCAGAGGCGTCGCTCAGAAGTGTCGCTCATGTCACTGAGATATGTGTGTAGAAATGTTGCTCGAATTGTCGCTCAGGCAGCAGTGTTGCTGATTGTGCGTGACTCAGACGTGTCGCTCAAAGCTGTTTTCAGAGTGTCGCTCAGGAGTGCCGCGCAGTGTTGCCCAGAAGTGTCGTTCAGAGGTGTCGCTCAAGCGTCGCTTGCATGAGTGTCGATCGATGAGCAGTGTGGATCAGAAGTGTTGATCAGACGTGTTGCTCCCTCAGAAGTGTCGCTCTGAAGTATCGATCAGAAATGTGGATTAGAAGCATCGATCAGAAGTGCTGCTCAGAACTGTCGATCGCGGTGTTGGTTAGAGGTGTCGATCAGCAGTGTCGAATCAGCAGCGTTGCTCTGAAGTGTGTGTCAGAAGTGTGTGTCACAATTGTCGATCAGAAGTGTTGCTCGGAAGTGTCGCGCAGAAGTGTCAGTTAGAAGTGTTGCTCAGAAGCGTCGCTCAGAAAACTGATCTCAGCAGTATTGCTCAGAAGTGCCGCTCAGAAGTGTCGATGAGCAGTGTGGATCAGAAGTGTTGACCAGACTCTCAGAACTGTCGATCAGAAGTGTCAATCAGAAGTGTCGATCAGAAGTGTTGCTCGGAAGTGTCGCACAGTGTCAGCCTGAAGTGTTCCTCAGCAGTGTCGCTCAGAAGTGTCAATTCAGCAGTGTTGCTCAGGAGTGTCGCTCAGAAGTGTAGATGGGCAGTGTGGATCAGAAGTGTTGGTCAGAAGTGTCGCTCAGAAGTGTAACTCCGAAGTGTAGATCAGAAGTCTTGCTCAAAGGTGGCGGTTGGAAGTGGTGCTCAGAAGTGTCGTTCAGAAGTGTTGCTCGCATTTGTTTGACAGACATGTCGCTCAGAAGTGTCGATCGGAAGTGTGGGTCGGAAGTGTTGCTCAGAAGTGTTGATGAGAAGGGTTCCTCAAAAGTGTCGATCAGAAGTGTTGCTCAGAAGTGTCTCTCTGAAGTGTCAATTCAGCAGCGTTGCTCAGAAGTCTCGATGAACAGTGTGGATCAGAAGTGTTGGTCAGAAGTGTTGCTCAGAACTGTCGATGAGAAGTGTGGATCGGAAGTGTTGCTCATCAGTGTCAATCAGAAGTGTGGTTCAGCAGCGTGCTCAAACTGTCGATCAGAAGAAGTGTCAATCAGAAGTGCAGATCAAAATAAGTGTTGCTCAGAAGCATCGATCAGAACTGTTGCTCAGAAAGCCCGATCAGAAGTGTTGCTCAGATCGATGAGAAAAAGTGTGGTTCAGAAGTGTTGATCACGTGTGCTCAGAAGTGTCAGTCAGAGGTGTCAATCAGAAGCGTGGCTTAGACGTGTTGATGAGAGCTTAAGGGTTCCTGAAAAGTGTCGATGAGAAGTTTCGATCAGAACTGTTGCTCACAAGTGTCGTTCAGAAGTGTCGATGAGCAGTGTGGACCAGAAGTGTTGGTCAGAAGTGACGCTTTGAAGTGGTTGCTCAAACTGTCGATCAGAAGTGTCAATCAGAAGTGCAGATCAAAATAAGTGTTGCTAAGGAGTGAACAGTCGATCAGAAAAAGTGTCGCTCAGAAGTTTTCCTCAGAAGTGTCGATCAGAAAAAGTGTGGTTCAGAGGTGTTGATCAGGTGTCGCTCAAAAGTGTCGCTCAGAATTGTCAATCAGAAGTGTTGCTCAGAAGAATCGATCAGAAAAAGTGTCGCTCAGTTCAGAAGTGTTGATCAGGCGTCGCGCAAAAGTGTCGCTCAGAAGTTCAATGAGAAGTGTGGGTCGCAAGTGTTGCTCAGAAGTGTTGAGAAGGGTTCCTCAAAAGTGTCGATCAGAATTGTCGATCAGAAGTGTTGCTCAGAAGTGTCTCAGCAGTGTTGCTCAGAAGTGTCGTTCAGAAGTGTCGATGAGAAGTGTGGATCAGAAGTGTTGCTCATCAGTGTCAATCAGAAGTGTGGTTCAACAGTGTTGCTCAAACTGTCGATCAGAAGTGTCAAACAGAAGTGCGGAGTTGCACAAGTCTAGTACGCAAAGCTCTAGCTGGAAAATCGCGACTTGGTAGTACAAGTCTGCTACGCGAAGTACAGGGTTCTAGCTCTAGCTGGAAATCGCGCGTGAAGCGCAGGTGTCCAGCTCCAGATTGAAAATCGTAGCTTTGTAGCAACAAGTGGAGCACGCAAAGTACAGTTTTAACAAGCTGAAAAACATAGTTTGCGCAGTAGGCTTGATTGCGAGCCCCGGCTTATACCGAGAAATGTTCTCTCTAGTTATTTTCTTGGGCTTGCGCAAAGTGATTTGCGTTCTGGGCCCTGTCTTGTTTTTTAGCACGGATAGCAGCACCGGTAGAAATGCAAGCAATACGTGAAGAGCATTCACACAACTCAGGATCGAACGTCGTAAGTTTGGAGTGCAAAAGTGCATCAGAAAAGTGCGCGAAGAATATTCCGCAAATTTGGTGGCAAAATTGGTACACAAAGTGCATTACCCCAGCTCCGCGGAGCGTGCGCCAGCAGGTCTTGGCTGGAACATCGTAACTTTTAAGAACAAACGCAGCACGTGGCAGAGCACCTCCGCAGCGTGTGCGCAGATACAAGCGTTGAGCATCTTGCGGAGAGAAACTTGCGCAGCAGAACAGTATGTCGAGCCACTTGTTCGTGTGACCATGTACATTGAGATCCACGCGCAGACGCGCTTGCCGCATCGATGTGACAAGGTGTCTCCGCAGCTGGAAGAGCACTTGGTAAAAGAAGCTTTCGGGCCAACCGTCCTCTAGTTCTTTGTTTGCCACTTGAGACAAGCGCGAGGAACGCTCAATCAAACTGCGACGCGCTGCCACCTGCGGTCGCCTCGCAGAACCCTTAGCCTAGTGAGGTCTATGATGAAGCGTCCAACATTCAAGCGCGGACGCTGCCAATGCACCTATTGTTTCCTTTCAGCGGCACAAACTGCTGGCTCTACGCTTTAGGCTAAATTTGGCCTTTTGTGGCAATTGTGTGGGCAGAGTCAATCTTCTTCACTTCACGCAAACATCTTTTCCCCGCACGCGTCGGCGCCGTGGAGGGGGGGGGGGAACGAAGGCACTCGTTCAATGCGAGCCCGTCGAGAAACAATCGCGTCAAGGCGCGCCAGCATGTGTGACATATGACCTGTCAAATGCCAAGTTGACCTTCGTGCGGTGCCAGTCACCATACCTGCGTCGCTCGGCCCCTCGCAGCACCCCTGCCGAAAAGCAGGCCTGACGGGAGCCATGTCGTTGCCATCGTTGAGCAAGTGCGACTGGAGCCTAGACAAAACAATCCTGTTTTGTTGGGATATCAAGAGCATCTCAGCTTTGCACGGGCAAACCACTGTATCCTCATCAGGCTGAAGGAAAAGAATGTGCGACCTGTCAAGCAAAGGCCTGACTCAACGACCTTTTCCTGACCAAGCTCCCGACTGGCGCAGGCCTGCAAGCCAGCAGCTTGTGAGAGCTTTGTGTCAAGGCCATGAGTGCGGCAACTTGAGGTTTCAACTCCCATGTTTACTGCTTGTGCTCACTAGCAAGCTGTTGAGGCGCTTGTGCGAATTTTCACTCCGTGGACCTCCAGGACTTTCTGGGCACGTGGCTGGCCTCAGCTTTCCGCGCACAGCCTTCCAGGATTCGCTGAGGCCCA